TCTCCGTGGCACGCCCCCCTCCCTTCCTCCTCTAAGAACTTTCCCTACAGCCCTTGTCATTTCCTCCCTGAGTCATGGCGATTCCAAATGGGCTGTGCTGTCAGGGCCGCTTCCTCATTCCCTTAGCACGAAGCCTGCTCCTGTCCACGGAATTTGGGTGGGTGGGTGGGTGGGTGGTGACGACATTGTATTTAGGAATTGGGGGGGGTGCAGTGCAATAAAATGTTGAAAGAATAAGAATTAGAACCAGGGGGCAAGGATAATTATATAGTTTTTTTTTTGGTATGAAATGAACTATAATGGTGGGGAAGCATCAAATATTGAGGCATTGTTTGTCCTGTGTCCCTGTCTCTCCTCCCCAGTCCTCCTGCCATACAGCCGCCCGATGACCTCTCCGGCGTCCAACGGGATAGGGCCCCTTTTGCACCCAGGATGCACTTCCAGGGCCTCACCATGCCTGCCAGGCCCTCTGAGAACCTCAGAGCTCTCTCCCTCCATCCTAGGCTCCTGCCACACTGGCCTTCCTCTCTGTCTCCCCTCCCCCCACTGCCCTTAGCCCACATGCAGCTGTCAAACCAGCAGACCCACTGTGTTGAGGGATGAAGTGCTACCCAGTCCTGTGTCACTTCTGTAAGGGGTTAGGGTTTTGCATCAGTTGATTTTTCAGAAGTAGACTGCCAGGCCTTTCTTCCGTGTCTCTCTTAGACTAGAAGCTTCGCTAGAAGCTCTTCAGCATCCTATTGATGCATGAGCCTCCACTGACAGACAGGGAGTGGGGGGTGCATTGGCTGGGAATCGAACCTGCGACTCCAGTATGGAAGGTGAGAATTCTACCACTATACTAACAATGCCCCCTCTGCTATGCTACTCTGCCCAGTTCGTTCCACCACAGGACCTCTCTCTGCTGCGGGTCCCTCTGCCTGCAAGGCTCTCTCCTGGAAGGCTGCTGTGCACGCGGCCCCACCGCAGAGCCTCCTCCTGTCAGGGCTGCCGCCAGGTCACCCTGCTGTGTCTGCCTCCTGAGCACCACCACCCCTGAAACCCTCACGTCCCTGCACTCATGCTGTCCTCCTGATACCCAGGACAGTACACTGGTGGGAACCACCCGGGCCCCCAGCAGCCTCTTGCTGAGTGAAGGAGCGAGCAGCGGGCAGGGACGTGTGCTTCCGCTGCGAACCGGGCCTGGGCTGTGTTCCCTTGGGAGGCAGAGGAGGAGATGACGAACTCGAGTCCCTGACGGGGTCAGGGAGATGTCCTTGTGACCCTGATGTCATATCCATTGGCTGCAATCGAAGGCAGCCCTGGCCACAGGAGAAGGAAGGGGCCAATTTCCACAAGTGCAGGATGAGCAGCAGGTCAGGCCGGGGCCAGGGCCAGGGCCAGGCAGGCCTGAGGCTCAGAGCCAGGGACCACGTCTCTTCCCAAGGCGCCCGACCACCTGGAAGGGCCGTCCTGGGCCTTGTAGTGGTGCTGTGGCAAGAGTCTCACCTGCTGGTCTTCCAGCTTTGGTTCACTCACGTGCACACTCTCGTACATACATTCACATGCACACATACACGGACTCACACACATGCACACAGACTCACACATATGTATACTCACACGCGCACACGTAAATACCCATTTACATGCACACACATACAGACATACCCATGCATACTCACACATGCAGATTTACACACACAGCCTTGCAGCACACACATGCCTACATACACATGCATTTTTCACACACACACACACATACACACACACACACACACACACAATCTGCTGGAGTCCTAATACGCCAAGGAATGTGAGATGAGATGTACCCCAACTTCAGGAAGTCTGTGTATGTGGTGAACAGCTTGGGGGGTGTCATAGAGCCGGCAGCAGTCTGCAATCCACTCTGTGTTGGGGGGAAGTGCTGCTGCGCTGGGACTGTGGTGACAAGAGCTGCTCGAGGAAGGCCTGGGGGACCGCTGCTTTCCGTCCAGTGGCTGGGGCTGGGCTGTGGAAGGTGGCCTGGGGACCTTCTTCTGAAAAGTGACCCCAGTCCCTGCCCACCGCTGTCAAGTCACAAGTAGCAAAGCTGAGGTCGCCCAGAAGCCTGTGTCCTCCATGAAAAGCCCATCAAACAGTTAAGAAGGCATTCAAAGGACGCGGCGGCCCGTGTGCTAATAGGAATGGCGATCTAACCTGTGTCACCGCTTGTAAAAGGCCAGGAAGGAGCTTAGCAGCTGCCCAGTTACTATTTGAGCCAAATGAGGCCTCCGCCACGGTGGCACTGGGGTTAAAGCAATCCACTGCTGGCAGAAAGATAGGCAGTTCAAACCCACCAGCCACTCCTCCTCCGGAGAAAGATGGGGCTGTCTGCTTCCGTAAGGATTACACTGCCTGGGAACCCTGGGGGCAGTTATGTCCTCCTGTATCACGGAGTCAGAATCAAGTCCATGGCGCGGGGCTTTATTTGCACAAGACCTGATTTAACAGGCAGGTGATCCGAGGTATGTATTGACAGGGGTCCTTGAGAGCCTGTCCTCGAGGTAGGCTCTGGACCAGGAGCTGAAAGACAGGTTCTTGCCCTGGGGTGGCCCTTGCAGGAAGGGTGTGGCCTGTATGAGCCAAGGTGGCGGACATCTAGGACAGAGGTTCCCAAAGGGATTTGGCCCACCTCTGCTTTTCTTTTTTTTTCTTTTTGTGGCGGACACACACACACACACCACCTCTGCTTTTCAAGGGAAAAAAAAAAGACTCAGTACCCCCTGGCAATTAAAAATGCTTATCCTGTATCCCATCACCCAGGACCAGGATGGAGTGGAGGCATCTGCTCCGGCAGTCCCTCTCCAGGCCTGGGATCATTCCAGCACCTACCAGGGAAACTTTGGGCAATGCTGATCTAAGGCATGAGTTGCCAAAGGATGGCTGATGGGCCAATTCTGGATGAGCTATCAACGGGTCAGGAGTAACCTCACATGTATAAAGTGTGGTGAGGAACATCGCCAGGACACGTGGCCTGGTCTAAGAGTTGGGTGCGGTGGGCTGTTATGAGCTGTGGCTCTAGGGCAGTCAGCCTGGGTTCAATTCCTGGCACTGCCTCGCCATGACCCGGAGCATGCCACTGTACAGTGGACACAAGGAGGATGCAGAGCTCACGGACATTCTGGGAGGAGGTGATGAGGAAATGCAGGGAGGGGCTTCCCCATGTGCCTGGCAGATGGGCTCTCGTCAGTGCGTTTTTCAGCACCAGGTTGGCCATATGACTTCCCAGGTGTCTGGGACTATACAATGCAAGCCAGTGTGCTGTTGTTGTGTGCTGTCCAGTCCATGTAGACTCACTGTTGCCCCACCCCCAGGGCCCCCCAGGCTGCCATCCTCCTGGACGCAGATCACCAGGGCGTTAGCCCACAGAGCCACCAGGTGCGTTCGAACCATCAACCTTCCGGTTCGCAGCTGGGAGCCATGAGGACTCCTTGTATAATCTCATGTACTATTGACAAACTGGAAAGTTCTACAGAAGTTATTTAGGCAGCGTAAGCGATACGGCAATAAAACAAACTGCATCCCAAGGAAAAGATGATAGGATTTTAGAAAAGGAGTGTTAACCCTTTGAAAGAAGGGGGGAAAGCAAGGCTGTTCTGCCTCAAGGATGACAAGACCTGACAACGAAGCCTTGGTGACGCTGTGGTTAAGGCCTCTAACCGCTAGCCAGAAGGTTGGCGGTTCTAATCCACCAGCCGGCTCCTTGGGAGAATGGTAGGCCGTCTGCTCCCGTAATGCTGACAGCCTGAAGGACCACCGTAGGGAGCAGTTCTACTCTGTCCTAGAGGCAGAACGTGAGACGGTGTTCTCGAGGGCAGTGGATAATGCCAGTGCTTGAACTTGGACTGAATACTGGATTGGAACAACAGCTCCCAAAGCCACCTCCCACCCCCAAAAAAGGGTGTGTGTGTATTTTGGGGCTAGCTGAGAAATGTGAATGCGGCCTGGATATGAGACGACATTGTGAACTCCATGATACCGGCGGTGTGGTTGTTTAGAAGGTCTTTGACCAGAGGAGACCCAGGCACTAGCACCGAGGGGTGGTGTGTTATGGAGGCTGGGCCTCAATTTATTTCCAGGCAGCGGAACAGCCGTCTGGCCTGCCCCTTGATAGAGACGGCTGCACACAGGGAAATGCAAGACGCGGTCACCAGGTGACCTACCGAGTGGAGGTGAAGGACACCCCTCATTTCCCAAGGGCTGGGAACTTTTCAAACAGAAATTCTAGGGTGATGGAGACACCCAGGGTTTCCCTGCCATCCACTCCACTGCTGGCGAAGATCATTCGTCGTAACGACACTTCATTCCGACATGCAGCCGCCTCCCTTAGTAAATGCTTCCTTTCTGCCTTCCCCTTCTTAAACCGTAAAGCGGACGTAGCGGGATCGCAAAGCCCAACCGTGAGCTCCCCTGTCCTTGGATCTGAGAGAGATGTTCTCTCTCTTGCTTTCTGGGTAGCCATTTGCACTTTCTAGCCAGCTCCGCTCCCACACAGAGAACCCAGCCGGAGGACGGTGGGAGCAACCCCCAAGCCCCGTGGCTCAGAGGAAGGAGATGCCAAGAGCAGACATCGGGCTGTCTGCTAGAAAGCACTAGGAAGTCGGCCCACTTCCAGTTCAAACTGGGGAGGACTTGGCAACACCGACACAGGGGACATCACAACACTCGTGGAAACGACGCGGTCTTTCGGTTGCATCCCCCACAGACTTTCCGAACCCCCTTGTATTTCCCCCCACACCACACCATTCAGCGCTTGGCTGCTGACCTAGACTGCGTGGGTTCCAACCCACCGGCCACCCAGGCGGAGAAAGTCCAGGTGACTCTGCGGCCAAGAACCCCCTGGAGCCAGCTCTGCTCTGAGTCCTGATCTCCCCACAACAGCTTCTGGCGGACTTGCCGCTCAGCCCCCTGTACGCTACTGATCGGCACTCCGGACCTCCCGTTAAAGGCTCGGAGACTTGATGCTGCCGCTCACTCACCGTGGGCTCGTGGTCGGGGGCACCGGAGCCTCTCATGATGGTGGAGCCCGGAGCACGCTGAGTGTCCTGGCTTCGGGCTGGTTATGCAGTGTCACCTCCTGTCCCTGGTCGGTTCTCAGAAGCAGCAGCCCACAGTCTTATCTGACAACACATGGGAGCCAGCAGGCATGCTGTCTGGCCAGTGTGACCTGGTGAAATGACAGGGCCGAGGGAGGGGACCAGAAACTCTCCCTCCCCCCTCCCGCCGTCCCTGACATCTGCTTGGTCTCTAAGGAGAGCCTGTCACACACTTGCTGTGCGAAACCACAAGAGAAGAAGGAGAAAAAAAAACCAAAAAACCCTACCCTTCTGCTTTGGAGGGCCAAGTTCCTATTTTAAAAAGCTCGGTGTCAGAGCTCAGGGCCCGCTCGGTCCCCCGATCCCATTTGTCACTAGGCCGGCCACTTCTCGGATGGTATTGGGGGCCACGGGCTGACTCTGCAGGGCAGAGTGGGACTCCCCAGAGGCCTTGCTAGGCTGTCACCTATCGCCGGACCTTTCTCCCACAGAGCCACTGGGAGGTCCCTGCCACGACGCTTTCAGTTAGCAGCCAAGCGCTTCACTGCCGGGCCACCAGCTCTCCTCCAACATTCAGCTGGTGGTTCACGGGCCTCCGTGGCTGCTGGAGGTCCAGGAGGAGGAGGAGAGTACTTTGCCACCTAGCTCTCTCCCATCTGAGCCCTCGCCTGCCCCTTCTCTTGGCTGGCTGAATTCTTGGCTAACTGACTTGGCCCCCTGCTGGGGTTCCCTTGCTGGGAGCCAACAGGGCCTGGGCTACCCCCTCACCCCTGCCTCACTGTGGCCTGTGCAGTCACTGGACTTTGCCCATGCTGAGAGGCCTCAGGGTGGAATAAGTGATTTGCACTTGGCTAATGTCCAGGCTGGCAGTGTGGCCCCACCTGTTGGCCTGACGACTGCCTGGGGGTCTGTAAAAGAGCCAGCCTTGGACCCTCTACGCAGTTCGGAAGGGCCACCAGGGGTCGAACGTCTGGTTCTTGTGTGTTCACTTGTTTTCCACAGGGTAGCAGACCTCCGTTAGGCTCATTCACACTTGTGTTTCGTTTAAACTGAACTGGGCCGTCCTTCTCACCGGGGCTCAAGTTCTCCAGCAAGGTGACCGTCCCTGCTGCCTGCTCCTCTGCTTGTCCCCGGGGAAGTGCCCACGGTCTGGGCACCAGGAAGCAAGGGCTGAAAGGGAGAGCTGGCTGATTTCTGCCCAAGACCTTCACTTGGTGAAATGCTGTCCGAATGAGCCTGTGTCCTGGAGCCTTGACTCCATTGGGGTCTTTCCAGAGGCAGCTCAGAAGTAGGGCCCGGTGGTCCGCTTTCCAAAAGCCTTGAGCCCCTGCGGTGTGCAGCTCTACTCTGCACACAGGGTTCACCATCAGGGCAACCCTTTGTTTATTTATCTATTTTACCATTGTTGGAAGTCAAGTTCAGAACCAAGTACCTGGGGTGCTGCAGATGGTAGCAGGTCTGAGGGAGTACATAATGACCCTGGGCGGGGACCTACACTGACTGTGTTCACACACAGAGAGAGACGCACGGGGCTGGGGGGACAGACCTGGGGGGACAGGGCTGGTGGTCCTTTCCAGAAGGTTGCACAAAGAAGACAAGGCATGTGGGAACCAGGGTCCAGGATCGAACTCGGGATATGGCATCGTGAACATGGAGCACAAACAACAACAGGACGGGAGTGAGCCCGCTTCTTTTTAAGGAAGACCAGCAGGTTTGTGTGCGGGATTGATGGGTCACGCAGGAGGAAGGTTATGGATGGCACCCGTGGGCAATGTATGTTCGTAAGGCCACTGTGCATGTTGTAAACCTGGATATCTTCCTGGGCCGGACCCTACTTTCCACTAGCTCCGCCAGATCCTGGGGTTGGGGGGCCGGGGGGATACCATCTCTCGGGATGAGGAAGAGGCAGCAACCAGCAATGTGATGAGCTGTGGCCAAGGCATTGCTGAGGGAGGGGCTCCAAAGGTGGGTGTCTGGAACAGCTAACTTCTGTGCTTCCAGATATGCACACCCATGGAGACAGCTCCGAAGCAGGAAGGTGTTCGCCCACGCCTCCTTGTTCTCCAATTCATTATCTTCTAAAACAAGAATCATAGATCCCTGGTGGGTTCTGTGTTGGGCTGCTAACTGCAAGGCCAGCAGTTCAAAACCACCAGCCTCTCCGAGGGAGAAAGATGAGGCTTAAGAGTTACCCTCGCACACCAGCCTGTGTGATCACGAGGTGTCGATGGGATCAGGTATCAAAGAACAAAAAGTCTTATCATTGTGAATGCGGGGGGAGTGCAGATTGGGGACCCAAAGCCCATCTGTAGGCAACTGGATATCCCCTTATAGAAGAGTCTCGGGATGAGATGAGCCAGTCAGGGTGCAATGTAGCAACGATGAAACATACAACTTTCCTCTAGTTCTTAAATGTTTCTTCCACTCCTCCACCCCACTATCATGATCCCAATTCTACCTTACAAATCTGCCTGGACCGGAGGATGTACACTGGGACAGATAGTAACTGGAAACACAGGGAAACCAGGACAGATGAACCCCTCAGGACCAGTGGTGAGAGTGGCAATACTGGGAGGGTGGAGGGAGGGTGGGGTAGAAATGGGGAACCGATTACAAGGATCTACATATAGCCTCCTTCCTGGGGGACGGACAACAGAAAAGTGGGTGAAGGAAGATGTCAGACAGTGTAAGATATGACAAAATAATAATAATTTATAAATTATCAAGGGTTCATGGGGGAAGGGGGAGTGGGGAGGGAGGGGAAAAATGAGGAGCTGATACCAAGGGCTCAAGTAGAAAGCAAATGTTTTGAGAATGATGAGGGCAACAAATGTACAAATGTGCTTGACACAATGGATGGATGTATGGATTGTGATAAGGGTTGTATGAGCCCCAATACAATGATTAAAAAAAAAAGTCACCCTCACAGTGGACAGTTGGACCCTGCCCTACAGAGTCACTGTGAGTCTGAGCCAACGAGGTACCAGTGGGTTTGTTTGTTACCAGGGCAGCCATCCACCTGGACAAGCTTGCCCTGAGGCAGGAAGATGAGGCCGTTTGCTCCTGTAAAGATGTGCGGTCTTAGAAACCTTACCCGGGGTCCCCGTGGGCTGGAAGTGACTGGGAGGCAGCGAGGTAAAATGTAGAGACCGGAACAAATGTTTCAGGAGCTCTAGTCGCAGAGCAGTCCCATAGGTAGATATCACACTCGGAATGAAGCCACAAGGGTGCAGGGAAAACACCCACCCACATACGGGGGAAGAATGGGGGACCGAGGAAACGAGAGCTGGGCTAGGACAGGAGAAGGCAAAATGAGATCCAAATCATGGTTCTCAGGGGAGCAACAGCGAGCGGACAGAAGGCTCATCTTTTCACGCGTGTTCAACATTGTGGACAAGCCCCGAGCGATGCGCAGACAGCATTCGCTGCAGTACTGTTCACAAGCACGCACCAGCAGACGGCCCTGTGCACGTGAGACGCCAGATGTGACCTCTGTACACGGCGGGCATTACTCAGCCAGGAAGAGAAATGGAGTCCTGACATGCGCCACAACTCGGGCGAGCCTTGAACACACGACGCTAAGGGGAGGGAGCCAGGCACACAAGACACACACATGCTTCCACTAATAGGAAGTAGCTAGAGCAGGCAAGAAGGAGCCCTGGTGGAGTAGTGGTTAAGCATTGGGCTGCGATCAGCATGGTCGGCAGTCTGAAACCACCAGCAGCTCCGCGGAGGAATGACTGGCCTTTCTACTCCTGTCAATAGCCCCAGTCTGGGACACCCACAGTGGGTCGCTGTGAGTTAGCGACATGACTTGATGGCAGTGAGGGTGGGGAATAGGCAGGTGCTTAAAGATGAAAATAGATGTATGGTTCCCAGGTGCTGAGTGGAGGCAGGGAGGAGGAGTTAGTGCAAAATACACACAACAAAGTGAAAACAAGACAAAACAAAAACAGCTGTGTGTAAGGTGTCTTAAAGAACAAGATAAGACAGGACCCCTGTGGCAGTTACATAATCTCCTGTCAATTTGCAAAGAGGTGGAGTCTAGCCTGTCAATCAGGCCAGAGCCAATGAGGCCTCCATGTGGGCGTGACCTTCTGAGGATCCTGGGAACTCCTGTCTTCCTCCCTGGAGGCAGGAGAAACTCTCTCTGCTTTGTCTTCCCGCTGACAAGCCACATGGATCTACACTGATGCAACCAGAGCCCTGGAGCTGGAGGAGCCACTTGGAGACTCACACCAGCGCTGAGATGCTTCCACCCCCCACTGGACCCACAAGACCGTCCACCCACTAGGCTGTGATTTTCCTGCGTTCAACATCGTTGCATGGCTGTGTGCCTCTAAAGAGGAATTTATGGACTAGTATTGACATAGGGGGTAATATTGGACTTACGGACTTTATCTGGACTGGCCCGGGATGTTTTCTTAAAGTACGATTTCTCACCCAAGCGGAAAGCGAATTTTGAGAATGATGAGGGCAACGAATGTATAAGTGTGCTTTACACAATTGATGTATGCATGGATTGTGATAAGAGTTGTATGAGCCCCAATAAAATAAAATGATTGTTTTAAAAGTACAATTTCTCTTTAATATAAAGTTCTCTCTTACACATATGAGTGTCTCCAGATTAGTTTCTGTAGCCAACCCAGACCAACACAGCCCCCAAAGGCTGTGGGGGTCAGTGACCTGTTGCCTGGAAGAGAGCCAGGCCAGCAGCAGGTACATTACTGGGGATCCAACAGCATCGTCTCTCTGCAGCCCGTCTGTCCGTGTTTGGGGTGGAGTGCTAGTGAACTTGATGCCGTGCAGAGCTAATGAACCTAGATAAATGTGGGTATCACAGATGTGACTCCTCATAGTCTCAGCCTGGTTCTTCTCCAGTGTCTGTGCTTGGAATTTTGCCTAATTTGATGGTCAGTTTTTGCTCTAATCCATGGGGAATGGCGCAATTCTGCTTTTGTTTCCTAGCCAGGAATGCCAGGACTCTGGAAGTCTTATGGGGAGACGTAGTGCGGATGGCAGGCAGCTGTTGAGAGGGAAGACGAGTGGTCGATCTTGTAAAACCAAGGCTGGAATCTCCATGGAGAGCCTGCCTAATGGCCCCTCTTCTTGGCAGCACCCCCCCCTTCACAACAGTCCAACTCAGGAGAAGAAGCACATCATCCTCTCATTCTGCAGAGCCATGCAAGGTCTGACTTGTCGAAGCAGTTGGTTTATATTGTCAGGTGACCTCTCCTGACAGGCAGGCGCTCGCCACGTCTCCGCAAGCGAGGCTTCTCTCCTGAAGGAGAGTCTGGGGGAGCTTTGTACTTCAAATACGGCAGCCATCTCGGATAAGGACGGGGCGTCATTGCACGCTCACGTTTCTGAGAGGCGGTGATGACTTGAGCCTGGTGTCTGCTCTCCTCTGCTGTCAAGTCCACTCCGACCCATAGTGACTCTTCAGGGCTGAGTAGACAGCCTCGTGTTTCCCCCGCAGAGAGGCTGGTAGGTTTGAACTGTGGCCCTTGAGGTTGGTGGCTTAGTGGTTACACGTCGGGTTCTCTTTACTAAAGGTGTTCTTACATTTCTTTTTAAAGATCTACTTTCTCTGCCCCCATACATTTTC